TTTCTGGAACACTAAATGGTTAGTTACCGTTGTTTTACCACTAATAAAACCATGCTGGTCAATAGATACTAACGGAGAAAGCAACGGTGTTATTTTTTTAGATATAATTGATTCGAACATTTTAGGTATAATAGAAAGTAAACAGATAGGGCGATAATTTGATATACTAGTTACATCACAGCTCTTTGAAATGGGCATAATATAACTTAGCTTCCAGATTAGCGGAAACAGACCGGATGATAAAGAAAGATTGAATAAATGTAACAAAGGAACTGTTAATACAAATTTACAATTTATAAAGAAAATACTCGGTATCTTATCAGGACCTGGGTTTGACTTATGGGTAATCGTGTCGAGTTCATTAAGAACGTCAGTGGCATTTAAAACCAAAGAACACAAATTTAATTGAGATAAGTTTAAATCTGGGGAGGTTGTAGTAAGATCATGACGTGAGGCTGAGGCAGGTGTTGGCACATCATAAACGCTTGAGAAATATTTAGAAAAACTATGAACTATATCCTTACCGCCACTTCCCTAACAACACAAGGAATTCCTATTGTATGTTTTATTACCTTCCTAATAGGATAACGGGATTATCCTGGGATCTTCCCGTGTAGGTCATAGTCTACATATGGGATGGACATATTCTATCCAACAGAACTATGAATGTCCGCTTCCCAGGAATGTCCTGTAAAGACTAGTAACCATACTACCATCCCATAGAAGTCTTAGGATATATCCTGTACCTCCAACGGAAGTCCTGTTCACTTATATTTTAAGTCTATGAAGAATATCCCTTCATGGTCCTGCAGATGTCCATGGACTGCAATCACATAAGTATATATATATACTAGATGTGTATATATATCTATATATATCTATACTAAATGTAAGACTTTACTTTTGACCATTCTGCGGAAGTCCCTTTACCATGCCTTTTAAAATAATTATTTCCTATATAAGACTTAGAAAATTTACATTTACATTAATGATTACATCCTTAAAAAAAGTAATTTAATTAATTGAATATCTGAATGAATAGAACAAAATAAATAAATAATAACAATGTCTTGATTTACCAAGTATAATATTTTATTTGTTAAAGTAAAATTGATAAAATTTAAATGACAATCAAAAACATAATTTGAAAAATATAGTTTGACTACAAAATATATTTAATTGAAATAATGTCATGTTCCTTTTGTATGTGTTCTTCTTTGAACAATTAACTAAAACATAATTATTTTTTCAATTAACAAGAAAATAAATGCAAGTTTTTTAAGAATATTTGAAAGGCATAGGTTTTACCTGAAACATATATTTAATAAAATAAATGTCATCTTTCTTTTGTATGTGTTCTTCTTTGAACAATTAACTGAAACATAATTATTTTTTAAATTAACAAGAAAATAAATACAACTTTTTTAAGAATATTTGAGAGGCATAAGTTTTACCTGAAACATATATTTAATAAAATGAATGTCATCTTCCTTTTGTATGTGTTCTTCTTTGAAAATTAACTAAAACATATATTTTTTTTTAATTAACAAGAAAATAAATTACCTATTTATATTATTATTTACAATGTATTATTTTTTCTGCTTAAACGCTCTTTTGCGTGTTTTAACCAGCTCGCTATAGGTTTTTTTATTTGTTCTTCAGTAGCCGTGTTGAATAAAATTCTAATTGACTCTGCAAATAATAAAATATTAAATCAAAAATTTTCTAATTATCTAATTTATTTGGATAATTTAAATTTAGTACAAATAATTAATATTTATAAATACCAAGTATAAGTTTATAAAAATTTGACTTCTGTAAACTTTGTTTATCTTTACTTATCAAAGAAGTTCCGGTTAAAGTTATATCAATACCCAATTTATTTGAAAATAATTTGCTCATAATAATTCTCACAGCACTATTTACCTCAGCGCCACCAAATGATGCAACTTTCTTCTTCTAAAAATCATGAGTAGGTAATAGTTATATGAATTTTATTTTATAATGTTATTTTTAAGAAATTGATAATATACCATAATATACAGATAAAAAGGTTGGAAGAAAAATTTAAATTGAAAAGTAACAACATTAATATTTTAATATTTTACCATTAACTCATAGTAGAATTCTGTTTCAAGCATTTTGTTTGCTTTCTGAAATTTTTGAATATCCGTTAATGGATAGACTGATGTGTAATGCAACTCAAAATCTTTTTTTTGTCCACTGGAAATTATATTTTCATCTAATGTAGAGTTGGATATTTGTAGATTTTTTAATAGATCTAAAATCGTATTTTGATTTACAAGAACTTTCTGAACTTTAAGATTCAGTTCTGCAATATCTGCAATAATATTGTTTTCTTCTCCTAAACAAAAATTAGAAATAACTAATAAGTATTCATATCCAATACTAACTTGATCTACAAACTATTACCAATAATTATTTACAGCGTTTTTAAAATTTAGTTTCCTGAAAAATTTCATTTTTGTCATTAGGATATCAGAGTGATATTTGTTTTTTTTTCTCAGACCCACTCGCAACATAGTTAAATACTCATAAATTCTTTAACTTAAAATCATTTTTATATGATTGTTGAGTACCTAATCTTAGAGTAAAATCACCAATTACAAAAATTATAAAACACAATATTTTTGAGTGTTGAAGAAATATTGGTCAGGATTTACATTAGATTGGTATATTACTAATTGACTCAAAATACATTTTGTTTTGTAAATTTTAATGAAATTTAAATTGTTTTGAGACAATATTTAAAGAAATTGATATCATATGCCTCTATAATTTTGGTAATAGGTAATTTTACTAATAGATAATTCCTAAAAAATTACAAAAAAAAAACAATTTTAAGAATGCTTTTTATATTTATGATACACATAGGTCCGAGAGAGAAAAAAAATATTGCTCTAACATCCTTTTAATGACAAATATATCATTTTTCAGAAAACTACTTTTAGTAAAAACTGAAAATTATTTTTGCCTAGAAGCCAACGATTTTAGGATTTAAAAAATTTATATAATATAATGTTTAAATATTTACTGATATTCTTCGATGCATCAAATACTTGACTGGTGATTGTATTATGTACTTTAAGACCTTCATTAGTACACAATTCTTGGAAATTCATACAAGTTATGTCATTATCACTTATCAGATCAGTGTCAATGTGATTGTTACTAAATAATGACAACTCAATTGCATCTTTGAAAAAACCAGAATCTGAAACTTAATAAATCAAATTGAAATATCTAAAATTGTACCTATAAAGTAAACAACTTAACACCAAACTTACCACCAGATTTATTATTTATACCAATGTCATTAATTTCATTAGATTGTGATATAATTGGACTTTTTTTAGTTTTAGGCACTTCGTATGATGCTAAATCTGAAAGTTTATTAATATTATTATAAATGCAATTATTATTTAGAATAGGTATAAACAATTTAAGTAATCAAGGTACCATTTCCAGGAACTGAGACTTGTGTTGAAGTACATAGAGGTTCATTTTGTACACTACCGAAAAAGCCTTCTGAATCTTGAACAAGTACATTGAGACATGAATCATTTTTACGCTTGCGTGTTTGTTTTAAAGTAAATGCATTGGTGGTTTGGGAAATTCATCAATTATTTTACTTTTCATATTCAATGACATATCATGTTTACTACGAAACATAGGTGGGCTAAGTTCATCATCGTCAGATGATAACATTTTAATACAACGTTTATGTCGATATTTTGGTGACTCTTCATCTATATCTGAATAATTTTTAGCTTGATTTAATTTCGAAATAGCATTTTTTAAGTTATCTAAACATAAAAGTTATAATGAATACATTTTTTTTTTACTAAAATTTAGAATTATAAAATATTTACCATCAGAACCATATATTTTTTTTATTGTATATGAAGTCCAATTTAAACTTCCGTCATCTGGACTAACCATATTAATTAATAGCTTGTTGTATTCTTTTATATCTTTTACGGCATTTGGATAATAAAAACGGAGATCGTCAATTTGCCAATTTTTACTTACAACTTGGAGACCATCTGAGAATTCAACAATTACAAATTTTCTGAAAGTAAAATTTAAAGTACTTAATTGATGTGTCATTAAATTATTATTAATTTCAGCTTAACTAAACGTACATTTAAATATTTACAATAAAAAATCTTTTATATACAATTATAAAGGTATTTCAATATTATTGAATACTAGACACTTCTGTTCTGTCAGAATGCAATAAAGGAAAAGTTGCGTACCATCCATTTTTATTTGGAATTTCATAAAAAAACATCTTTTTATTTATCATAGAAATAGGCCAAGTATTTTGTTCTGATAATTGTGACACTGAATATATGTCCAATAAACTAGAAGCACAAGGTTTTAAATATAGATCTTGTTTAATTAAAAATGAATGTCCAACCAAGAAATATGAACTTGAATCTTTATTAAATACAATATTATCAGTCAAAACTATTTCTTTGTTTTTTAAAAAAAACACAACAGTTTTTTTGATCTTTTGCAATTATTGTAAAATAACTGCAAGTAATAGATAAATACTGAGGATTTGACATATTAATTGGTAAAGGACCACTGTAATGTTGTTTCTTATAAATCCAAGTGTCACTTAATTCACAATTGCACTTGGTACCTTTATAATTTGTTTTAATTTCTTCAACTCTACGAATAATTTGTTGCAGTGGTTTATCATCCTTTCTGATCATTTTTTTAATTTTTTGCATATAGTTTTCAAATTTAAATGTTGAGAAAGAATCCAATGTTCCATAACATAGTACATCATTACATATGTGAATTAGTGCATGCACATTATATGAAACATGATGCTCTCCATAAATGTTTTTAAAAGATTTAACAAAATGTAAAAGTAAATTTTGGGCGTATTGAATAAATTCAGTTTGTTTAATCAAACTATCAGAACAAAGTATTCGAATTGCTACATGTAATGTTAAGAAGTTTAATTATACATCACTATTAACATTATACTGCAGTACTACAGGCCCAGTATATAATAGTAATTGCCGAAATTCTGTTGCTTTCCACTGTTTCCATTGAATTAATGATCGTGGTCGCCGTTGAAATTCAATTGGAACATACAATAAAATATTTTTTTCGATGGACATTGAAATGTTTTTTACTTTTTTAAAATTTAATCTAACATTTAAACTACCACAAAGCCACAATGAAATTAATTTCTTTGTAACACCGAGGCAAATTAAATGCTGATAGTCAAGAGGCACATTTGAAACTAAACCTATGTTAGGAATTGATAGTAAGTCAGTTCTGCCAGTATGATATTCATCATCACTACATTTTTCAAAATCTTTATCAGTTCTCAGTCGAACATTTTCATCAAGGAAACATATTCTCTTCTCAATATATTCTCCTTCAACTTCACACTTGGTGCAACTTGAATACCCTCCATGACCTTTAGTATGCAACAAAAATGATTTAGCTGGGGCGTCAACTGAAATTCCTTTAATTTTTAATTTAAATTTTTTACCATCGTGAATAATATTATTTCTGTATATTTCTTTAGTTTCTTCAATAAAATCAAACAAAAAATCATTTGAATCATCAGGTTTACTTTGTTTTCCATAATAAAGACCAATTATAAATACATGGTTATAAGGGAAAACAGACCCTAAAATTGGCCATAATTGGCCATTCGATGATTTTGAAATAGGTAAACCATCCACGTTTACAATTATTTCAATATCAGTTTGAGTTAATGAAAAAGTATCATGCTGTTTAAGAAAATTTATAACACCACTTCGAAGGCCAAAATGAAAATATTCCCCTGGAATAACTTCTTTAATTATAGTTGTTCTGGGAGTTTTCAATAATGTTCTGGCATCAATAGGTAAATCATAATTAATATATAATTTGAGTATTTTCAACAGATGAGTTAATGCTATCTGTTTAATATTATGTTGAGTAGCCCATTCAGCTAAATATTCTTGTAAATTAGCTTTATTTACATTAGATAAAATATTTATAGAATCATCAATATAACTCCGATCTCGACTCTGGTTATTGATATCCTCAATTATTTCCGTATTGTCTAAGGTATCTGGAATTGTTCTATTAATATTCATTTTTGAAGTAGGCACATCAATTTCATTTTTATTATAATCATAATTCATATTTTTATGAGAAACGTCAGGAATAAAACTATTGTTAGTAACAGTAGTAACATTTGTCTGTAAAGTATTTTTTGTAATTATTATTGACGTTTTAACTTTGGCACGCTCTTGTAATATTCTTCTTCTAAATTGTTTTACAGATATAGCATTTATTGGTTTTAATTTTTTTTTATGTTTTCTACACAAAAAAAAAATGTGTAAAATCGTTCTTCAAAAAATTAAGTAAATTGTAATTTACTCCTAAATAAAATGTATAGGTACCTACTAATTTTATTTCAATATGCAAAAATAATAAAAGTGACAATGTAGTTTTTTAACTTCTAAAAGAATATTAACAAAACAAAAATTATACCTAGGTAGGTGCCTATTTTTTTTATTAGAAGGTAGGTACATCATAACAAACACAGAATATAATAGGTACCCATTGTACCCAGAAGTATAGCTGTGTTAATATTAGTATTGTGATTTTATATTTGTAATCAACACAAACTAGATTGTTATGAATATTTTAATATTATTGAGTAGCATTTATTATGGCTACACCTAAGAAATTAAGTGCAGGACCTATACAATTAAACAAAATAGTAAATACTATAGCTATAGTGTCTATTACATTATAGTCACACATGGGAAAAAAGTTTAAAAATCCACACATAATATTATATAAACAAGACAAAGGCAGATTAGATAGGTAGGTAAAATCATGACTAAAACCTTCTAAAAGTAGTACGAGAATGCTAAAGATAACACTGCAAACGCATAGTTTAGATGTAGATCAGAGACTGAGTTTTAAGTATCTTCTTTCCAACCCATGCCACTGGTTAATTTAATATATGACTGTTTTAAAGTTTAAATGCCATAATAAAATTATCAACGTGTATTATTGTTTAGTAAATATTGTAATACATACCTTAAATTGGGTCGGTCTAAGCCTAAATCCAAATGATTCATTTTTAATCCGTAGGTAGGTAATTACACTTCAAAAGTTCAAATAGTTCAAATGCACGATGCCACGATGCAGACGATACAAGGTTAGGCGTGTTTTGGCGGTGTAACCGGCGCTAACCGCTAGTAAACTGTTTACTGATATCGTTTTCGCGATTACGGTTACTGTAACCAGGTAACTAATTTCGTGAACGTGTTTAGTGAATTTCGTCGATTTCGTCGGGTTTACTGAGATTCGGTTACTAAAAAGTTTATGATAAAAACGTGATAATTTGTATTTTGTATGCCGGTATTTCTATGATAAGTTTTATCAAATATTTCAGTAAACAGATCAAACGTTTAATCGATTAATCGTTTTAATCGATTAATCGTTTTGGCGTTCCAGTAAACGTTTTCTAACCGTATTCTATAACCATAAACTTATTTACTTAACAGTTTACTCCGCCAAAACACGCCTAATGAGTATTTTACTATTTTATATTTTTGATAAGAATCTTCACCGCCGAAATATGAATATTATCAGAAAAATATCGTTGTGTAACCGTTCTATCTTATCGTGGCTGGTTATAGTGAACTGGAAGGGGTTTCATGTATTGTATACAATTATATGTATATATACTGAAAGATATTATGAGAAGTCCTAAGGAAGGTCTTAGGACAGTTGTACTACAGTCACTCGTAGGCATGCGTCTTGTTGTAATGAACTATCCTCTATCCTAATTTGGAAATATCCGGGAAGTTCTTTGGACGTCATGTATAAATGGCTTCTATATAAGACGAAGTTTATATATAAATAACAACTATACTATATATATTAAAATTGCGAATGGGAACTGGGAAGTTCAAAGATTGGTTTTTGAACATATAAGTGGGACTTTCCCGGATAGGAAACATTTGGGAAACTACCGTGGACGTCATGTGTTGTTAGGGTTATAAGCTGGTTATTATAAGTCATCGAAGTTGGTATAGAATTATTAGAACGTTTACTTTTTAAAAATTGCCAAAATTTTTTTGGATTTGATTTTAATGAACTTTGAGTATCTATAATGTATTTACTATAATTTAATTTAGAAAGAAACTTACACTTAGCTCGCAGGTTAGAAAATATATTATAATTAGCTTGGGTAGGAGATGATTTGTATAATTTATGAGCTATTTTCTTTTTAAAAACGAAGTCCCTCAATGTAGAACTGAACCAGACAGGATATTTGCTAGTATACAATTGTTTTTTTTACAGTTAGCATCAATGATATTAAATATGTGGTTGTAAAAAATAGTAACAGCATTGCTTATACATTCATTTTTAAATAAAACAGGCCAATCTAAGCTGGCTATTTGTGACTTGATAATATTATAATTACAAAATGAAAAATCGTATACCAATTCATTATAATATAGTGACTGATAATTGGTATTTATAGGAAACGTAATAATTAAAGCTGGATGATTAAGATGATCAATTGGTAATAAAGTATCCGCTACACAGGAAACTAAAATATTTGGTGAATTTGATAAAATTAAATCAAGTATGGAATTTTTTTTATTTTTTGTTACATTGAATTGTTTAAGATTGAGATACGAGAAATTCGCTAATATATTTGTTTCTAAAATTCTAAAATTACGAGAGTCAGGGATAATCTTATTGTTGACCACCGACCAATGTAATCCAGGAAGGTTATAATCACCTAATATTATGATTTTAGAATTACAATATTCAGATAATAAGTTATTTACAGTATCAGTGTGAGAATTATAAACATTTATATCAGATTTCGGTGGTATGTAAACAGCACCAATTAACAATAAAAATGACCCTAATGATAGTTTAATAAATAATTGCTCAACATCATTGTTTTGAAGTGGTATACGATAACAATGAAGGTGACTTTTGACTGCAATTAGAACGCCACCACCTCTGATGTTTATGTTAGTCCCAAAGGTACTGCCTCTATCATTGCGAAAAATTGTATAGTTTGGAAGTAGACCGAGTTCATTACTATTAATCCCGATGTGTAACCAAGTTTCTGATAAAACGATTATGTCATAATCGACCAAACCTACATTACGCGTAAAAACACCCAGTTTGGTATTTATACCGCGTATATTCTGGTAATAAAATGTTAATTTTTTTTCTTTATTGCATGATTCCCGCCGTTTTTTGAGACCGTTGGTACATTATTAACATACTTAATAAATAAATCAAGCCATTGTTCCCATCTTCGGGTAGTGGGTTGTCTATGAAATTACAAAATAAAAGTCTAGTGTACTGGAATGACCCTAATGATTTAGTCGAACGTTTACGACTACTTTTAGCTTCTCAAGCTGCTGGTAATACAGGTCTTTCCAACGAAATACTTTCAATTTACAAAGAATTGTATGAAGCGGGTTTGATAAAATGAATTCCAAATGTCTAAACGTGATATCGCTTTCGAACTACACAAACCAGCCAGAAAAAATTATACAAGGCGGAGAGTTAATGTGTATGGAAAAAATGATCTCTGGCAGGCGGATTTGGTCGAGATGATTTATTGATTTCTTACTCAAAGATTAATGGTGGTTACAAATATTTCCTAGTTGTGTTTGACGCGTTTTCGAAATTTTCATTTGGCGAAGCCATTAAAGAATAAAAGTGGTAAAGAAGTAACTAGCGCGATGGCTACAATATTACGTGATCGTTCACCAAAACTTTTACAAGTCGATAACGGAAAAGAATTTTACAATACAACATTCGACGGGTTGATGAAGAAACATAATATACATAAATATTCCACTTATAGTACAACGAAAGCTTGCATCGCGGAACGCTTTAATAGAACTTTGAAACAAAAAATGTATAGAGAGTTCACTGCACGAGGATCACATGAATGGGTTTCTATTCTACAATCTCTGATTAACGAATATAATAATTCAAAACAAAGAACAATAGGTATGACACCTATACAAGCTGATGCAAATCCTTCTTCGGTGAAATAAAAGCAACGTCAAATTAATAATGTCAAAATTAAATTTAACATCGGAGATAATGTAAGGATATCCACGTATAAATCAGTATTTTCAAAGGGTTATCTACCCAGCTGGTCCACAGAAATATTTAAAATAACCAAAATAAATAAAACATCTCCCACTACTTATCAACTACAAGATTATACTGGAAAACCGATTGCAGGTTGTTTCTACTCTGAGGAAATTCAAAAAACTAGTTTCCCAAACGATTATTTAGTCGAAAAAATTATTCGTAGGAAGGGAGATCAAATGTTTGTAAAATGGTTAGGGTTCGATAATACACATAATAGTTGGATAAATACTACAGACATTAGAAAATAGTGTCAGTCGAGCTGTAGACATGAACGTGTTCGGTAGTTCTCAGTCTAGTGAAACTAATACATTTTTTACAAATCTCGAACAAATTGTTAAATCGTATTCGAATAAACTCGATAAAATTGAGCATTTACTCGAAGAAAACCATAAATCCATACAAATTCAAGAGGAATAAACAGAAAAGTTGGAATTAACGTGCATAGAGATTACAGAGCATATGACAAGAGGCGAAGTATCATTACAATATATCAAAGAAGCTATAATTGAGATAAAAAAAATAATACCAGCTATACTGAGCCGTCTTAACACTATAGAAACTTATTATAAAGACAAGTCATAATGGCTTCAGCCATCGTCGATATACAGTGCGTTCTTAGAATGGATAATACATACATGATTAAAGAAATGTCTATTGTAGACACTGAAACATGGGCAAGCCAACATTGGATTTTTAAAAATTCTAAATCAATGCAGGACAATAAGAGTCGAAAAACTAATAAGTGGCTGGAACATAACTATCATAATCTATCAATAGAATATGGCGATGTTGAGTATGAAGAAATAAGTAGAATATTGAATTCATCAAAGTTCAGAAACATTTATGTCAAAGGCGAGCAGAAAAAACAACTTCTAGTAGAATTTATACCACACGTTGTAGTTATTAACATTGAAGACATGGGATGCCCTCG